TAGACATTTGCAAAATAGGGGAATCTTCATTCATTTTATCCATGTTGAATATTTGACAGGAATTTCAAAGATTTTAGCAAATATTTAAATCCATCACTCAATTGATCAACATTTCCGGAAGAGTTCATAATGAGAAGAACTCATCTGAAGAATGAGAAGAAGTTCATAATAAGAAGAACTTGTTCAACCTTTTGCTTGATTTTATCCCAGAAGGAGATAGATCAGCATCAACATTACAAGAAAAGTTCATAATGAGAAGAACTCATCTGAAGAGGAAAAATAAGTTCATAATGAGAAGAATTTGTTCAACCTTTTGCTTGATTTTATCCCAGAAGGAGATAAATCAACATCAACATTACCAGAAAAGTTCATAATGAGGAGAACTCATTTGAAGAGGAAGAAGAAGTTCATAATGAGAAGAACTTGTTCAACATTTTGCTTGATTTTATCCCAGAAGGATATAGATCAGCATCAACATTTCCAGAAAAGTTCATAATGAGAATAACTCATCTGAAGAGGAAGAAGAAGTTCATAATGAGAAGAGCTTGTTCAACCTTTTGCATGACTCTATCACAGAAGGAGATAGATCATCATCAACTTTTCTAGAGAAATATCATAATGAGAAGAACTTATCTGAAGAGGAAGAAAAAGTTCATAATGAGAAGAACTTGTTCAACCTTTGCATGACTCTATCACAGAAGGAGATATATCAGCATCAACATTTCCAAAAGTGTTTATAATGAGAAGATCTCATCTGAAGAAGGAGAAGAAGTTCATAATGAGAAGAACTTGTTCAACATTGCCTTAATTCATCACATATGAAGCCAACTTAACAACCCCTCTTTTGAAGATCAACATTTCCAGAAGGAGTTCATAATGAGAAGAACTCATCTGAAAAAGAAGAAGGAGTTCATAATGAGAGGAATTTGTTCAACTTTTTGCTAGATTACATCATAGAAGAAGATAAATTGTCATCCCTAGTGGAAAAGTTCATAATGAGAAGAACTAATCCCAAAGAAAAATTTGTTCAACATTGCCATCATAATCAAGTGAAGTCAAATGAATAAAAAAATTATTATCTTTTTGTCTTTGCCCTATTCTTGTTAACACAAGAATGAGTAAAGAGGGGCAGCTGAAGATACTAATTTTTTATCCATTTCTTTTTTATTTTTAATATTATTATTATTTTATTTATACTATTATTTTTTATTTTATTATTATATTATTATCATTACAAACAGACCCAAAAATATAGCTCAATACTCGGAAGCCCGTTTTACACCCAGACTGGCCCAAACAGACGGCCCAAACCCACCAAAAACCCTAAAACCCAACTAGGGTTTCCATTTAAGCTTCAAGCCGCCTCTCGTTGTTATCCGTTGGATCTAACTTAGATCCAACGATCCAGATGATCCCAACAACAAACCCTAGGGTATCATAACCCTAGGGACACGCGGCCGTCGCCTTTGTTGCCGTCGATCTACATCGTTCCACGCCACTCTACACACTGCCATGACGCCAACAAGAGCCTCTAGAGGAAATCAACACCAGTCGTCCACCTTGTGACCTTAGGGTGAGTCACCACTGTGGGTTCAGTGACTCACCGAGGGATGTTCTCTTACCCGGTCCGAGGCAAGGTTCGTGGTGGCTATAAAGCCACCGAACCTGCGAGACAGAGAACACGAACGAAGAGAAACAAAAAGACAACCAACAGCAACCATTCGAAAAGAAAAAAAAAAAGAAGAAAACACTTACCACAGTCGTCGGAGTCTTCACATGAAACCAGAAAAACAAAGCCATCAAAGGTAAAAAACCTTCGTTTTTTTTTAAATCTAGGGTGATTTAGGGATTTTTATGTAAAAGAGAGGCCATATTTGAGATAAAAAAAACCAGCCACCGGTGAACGGATTCCCTCCGGTGAGGGAATTCTAGAGAGAGGCGAGAGAGTTTTAAAACTCTCTCAGTTAGAGAGAGAGAATGGAAAGAAGAGATTGAAAAAATTTGGCCTTAAGGCCGGCTATAATAGGGCTTAAATACCCTCACCAAAACGACGTAGTTTTGGTAAGGGCCTTTGTGTAATTTCACTTATGGGTTAATTATACCCGATGTCATCCCATATTTGTAACTTTGCATTATAGTCACTGAAATTAAATTTAAATCATTTTAATTCGGTTTCTTAATTTTAATTTTATTTATTTTAGTCCTTTCCATAAAATAATAGATATTTTAGGTAAAATAATAGATTTAGTCATCTAATTTTAATAATTAATATTTTAACCCTGAATAACATGTTTTAATTTAATTTAATTTGATGTTCGAATTTGATATAAGTTTATTTTAGTCCCTAAATTAAATAAAGGTAAAATAGCATGTTTAACTCCTGTAATTTTAAATAATTAATTATGAATTAGGTATTTAATTTTATTATGTTATAATTTAGTCATTAATTTCAAATACTTTCATTTATCTTACAAGTTTTATTACTTTTTATATTTTAATACTATAGTTTTAATTTTATTTATTTTAGTCATTGTTTATTTATATTTATATTTTATATGTTTATATATTTAATTATTATTGTTATTATTATTATGTAGTCATATAAACATATATAATAAATAATATTTATTTACTTATTTTTTTATATTAAATAAAAATCCTATTTATAAAATTTAATTTTATATAAATTACTTTTAAGAAAAATAATCATATTTTAATATTTATTTATTTTTTAATATTAAGAAATAGGCTGTCTTAAAGCACCTAGAAGTCCTTTTCTGATATTCTTAAATAAATAAATATCCTATTTTTATAAATTATATATATTAATTTATTTTAATTATTTTTAGAGAAATGTTTTATTAATATTTATTTATTTTTTAATATTAAGAAATGGGTTGTCTTAAAGCACCTAGAAGTCCTTTTCTGATATTTTTAAGTAAAAAAATATCTTATTTATAAAAATAAAGATATATATATATATATATATATTAATATATTTTATTAAATTATATTAATAAATTTGAAATAACATGATTATGAATTAAATATATTTTTAAATTTTTAAATTTTCAATAATAGAGACAATTTATAATTAATGAGTACCAATTTTAGGCGTTATAAGGGTGTTAATCCTTCCCTAAACATAATCGACCACGAATCCCTTCTTTACTAAATTTTTTTGGTTATGTGCATATCAGTTTATCTTTTAAATTATGTTTTCTTAAAAACTATTTTAAAAGGTTATTTTTAGATATTTAACCTACCTAACCCAAAGGGTCAATGGCGACTCCCAAAATATTTTATTTTAAATCAAAATTATTTATTTATTTATTTTAATTTTCTCGCCAAATAAAAATTCGTACCCGGACAAAAACCGGTTACGACAAAATGGATAAACTACCCCAATGATTCACAGTAATTAATTTTAATTGATGTGAACGAGAAGTCGCTAGATTAGATTAGAATGTATATATGTATATGCAGTGAAATAGAGAAAATTTAAAGAAAAAGTCAGAGATAAATACATGAACTGTAGGAGCATATTGACAGAATTAGAAGAGACAAGCTATCTGGTATAAGAACCATAGAAAATGCTTCTTCACTGTTATATAGACACAAAAATCATTATAATTATAACTGACTAGGTTAAAATTAACAACAATTTTCATGATCCACCGGTAACACTACCATTAAAAATCTCAATAGTATCACCTTGGGCAACTTGATGCCACCTAAACGACCGATCATCGTCCATCACATTCTGTTTATAAATGAAAAAGTAACCATCTTGTGGCAAATGAAAATGAAGCCTTTGGTGCAACTTTTGCAGTTCCTTCCTTAGCTCCCCAACCTTATCCGTCGCATTCATTTCCACCGGTATCTTCTTCGTCCCCGTCTTTGGCAAGACCAACAGCTTCAACTTCTTCGAACCTGCCGACCCCGTCCCTGAACTCGTAGGCGACGGCTTGATATTCGCGTCGACATCGTTATTATTCTCCGTCAGCTCGCAGTCCCCTAGTGACCGATTTGCTTGCGATTCGGCACCGGTTGATTGAACTACTAGCCGGTTAACCAGGACGGGTTCCGTTTGATCGTGAATCTTCTCCTTTACAATCGTGTCGTTCGAGTCTATTTCGAGATGGAGCGAGGTTTTCAACGATGGGGTATTGACGCGGGGTTGTAATTTCTTCTTCAACGGGGATGAGCTTTGTTGTTGTTCATCGGATTGGGGTTGCTGTTTATTATTAGTAGTGTCGGAATCGGAAGCCACGAGTAGTTGAATACGTGAGTCTTGTAGGATTTCGCAGAACTCGACGTCTCGTTCGTCTTGAAGGACTTGGCCATTGAAGACAAGGGTTTGATTAGGTATAGGTATTCCCTGGTATTTCTGGACTTTCTCTTTGATTTCAAGAACTGTATCGAAGAAACCAACTTCAATGGAAAATGGCTTGCCTCTTTGGGTTTCAAAGATGACATCCATTTGAAAGGACTTCAATGGCGATTTTGGTCTTGTTCTTTCTTTAAATGGAGTTTTTTGTGAGAGCGTGTTGATTGATGGCGAATAATCTGGTGTTTGTTAACAGCTATATCCGATGTATTGCAACTGTGAGCCGTGATTTACTCATTTATTTCTCCAGATTTTTTTTTATTTGGAAAGTTTTTATTCTGCAGCTTCGGATTTTTATTCTTTAGATTGCATCTACAATTGGCAGATTTTGTTTTCCATTTTTGTTATGATCCAATCACTACTATTGTTCATAGAAAGATAAATGTCTATTTTAGATGATTTTCTGTTTTATAATTTATTAGGATTTTAAATTGAATTCATTTCACGGCAACAAATTAAATTCATAAAACTATTACTAAATATTACCCTATATATATAATCTGGCTTTTAATTTGAATAATTAGAGATCATCTCAAAATCGTGTAAATAAATTTATCTTGATCGTTCAATTTTTTTTTAAAAAAAAATCACTGATCATATACTATAGATATCTATAGAAGCACGATTAATCTGTATGTGCAGTCTAAGACTCATTTGAAAGCACACTGCAGTCGAGGCCGAACTTGACCGTACACATCCTTATTCGTGTATCGTCGGTCCCAAGACCACGTGACATCTGCGATTGAAACCGAGAAAAAAAATATAAGCTCGATGACCTGCAAGAAGCAGCTTATAAATTTGAAGGTTGTGTATAAGATCATAAGTTTTATGACCTTCAGATGAGTACTGCTCGAGAGGGAGTTCGTAAGGGACGGGCAAGGGAATTACTTCCGGTGTCTTGCTTCCTTGCCAAGCAAGAGTGACTAACTCCGATCTCGTAGCTACGGAAGTACGGGTCGAGTTTGGTTTATTGATACCCTGATTTACGTATAACAACGATGGAAATAGTTATGCCTTTTTCTTTATCACATGATGTTTCATTGGTAAATGCAATTGAATCAGAAATAGCCATTTACCTCTGATGACCCTCCGTTAGCTGTACAAGAAAATTCGTAACCGTCTTTTTTGATATGAGACGGTAAAAATGGCACACCGAGCTAGAAAGGTTTATACAAAGAATAACATAACGTCCATGGGTTCGGTTTCGATATCTTTTCAATGGGATTTTCAGGCATCAGGTCAGATGCACTTACCTCGTAAGAACGGACCATCAACTGAGAATTGTTCTTCTGAAGAGCTCCCCAGGAAGCTTTGCTAAGATTCACTGAAGTCCGCAAGAACCAACTGCATCCATGGAGAAAGTTTTAGCAACCAGCATGAGAGAAGGAAATACAAATCTTAAAAACTAAAAGTTTTCGAAAGCATGATATATAGGGCTGAATGAATTCTTACGCCAGTTTTTGTCCATTGTAGCGGGTAAACGTCTTGATATGTGGCATTGCGTGACTGAAACAACCAAAATGAAAAGCCTTAAGAATCAACAATGCTAATTGATATTTTATAGCTCAATCTTTCACCAGAGATGAAACAGACGTACCTGCGGCCAGTATGATTTGCCTTCCACTTTGCCCAATACTTCTTCAAGAATCCCTTTCCCACGTTCTTAAGTGGACTTGGAATCACACTACCGGCAGCATAACCCTAGAAAGCAAGGTAGAATAACAGACATATAAGAAACTTGACTGGAAGTAGTTTTTTTGGTTTAAAGCCAAAAATATAATACTAACACCGAGAAACCTACTTGATAGTACCTCTAAGAAGCATCTCACATCTTCAACAGTGGGCCATATTATCGACGACTCACCCAAACCAAGGGGTGTTTTTATCTTCTGAATAACCTGGTGACATTGAGGATGCAAACTCAGCCATCCATTTCTCGTCCAATGAACCGAGGGAGGAGAACTACAGTGAGTCGAATAAGAATAAAAGCAAAAAAATATACAGCCACTTTCTTCTCTTAATCTATACATGCCAATACCATGAAAGAAAAACCAATAGCTTAAAGAAATTTCATTGAAGTTCGATCCCAGAGAAACCGAGCTTTAAAGTTCAACCCAAATCACTGCATGACTCCACATAACAAGAAGTCCAACAATACCTGATAAACTAGAGGAGATCTCTGGAACTCTTTATCAAAAACACACTCCTAGAGAACAGAACGCATCTTCATATGGCCCCATTTTTTTCATATTGGAACCCGTATGATATCCAGTGACAGATACAATCAGTCGAACCAGAAAGTTCTCAAATAGTTTATAGGGTCCGGCATATAGTTATGAGATAGAAACGAAATTGGTTCCTTCTGTAACATTATAACTGTAGGTATCGATATAAAATATAACTTAAAAAAAATAAAATTATACCTTTGCCTCACTGTAATCTGTTGCGGAAGACGACTATTGGATAGAACAAAATCGTAACTGATAATTTGAGAAAATAAAAATGAAGATAAAAAAAAGACACAAAATTTACGTGGAAAACCCCTGAATAAAATAGGGTAAAAACCACGGGCAACGGTAGAAGAATTTCACTACGATAAAATAAGAATTACAACCTCTCTCAATCTACCAAGGAGAAAACAATGATAATTCTCTCTCGATAAAAAGGAGAAAACAACTCTCAAGAAACTCTCTAAATTCTCTCTAGTATTGGAAGAAAGCTAGAATGCTTTGAGATGATTTTGAAGCTAAATGAGCTAGGGTATTTATAGTTGAAGCTTTAAGGACTAACTTGTAAATACCCTAAATTACAATGACTAAATTATGCTTATACCATTTAGCAATTTCAACAATTGTGTGCTCCTTTTAACCATTGCACCGAATTGTGCATTAATGCACCGTTTTCGGTGCTGACTTTTAACAATCTCCCACTTGAAGATTTGATTGGAACAATCATATCTTCACACCATTCTTTCTACCTTGTACCATCATGTTGCTTACGTTTCTGACAGGCCACAAGAGGATCGACACCAAGTAAATTTATCAGCATTGATCGCCTTCGTCATGAAATCTGCTATGTTGTCTTTGGTATGGATCTTCTGCATATCTACCGTCCCTTCTTCCACCTTTTCACGAATGAAATGGTATTGAACTCGTATGTGTTTTTTCCTTGAATGAAATGATGGATTCCTTGCTAGATGCAAGGCGCTTTGACTGTCACAAAACAGAGAGACAAACTCTTGATTGTGTCCAAGCTCCTCCAATAGCATCTTCAACCAAATTGCTTCTTTACTGGCTTGTGTAGCTGCTACATATTCTGCCTCTATTGTGGACGTAGCCACAACTGACTACAATTTTGAAACCCAGCTTACAGCTCCACCAGCAACTTTGAACACATATCCTGTAGTAGATTTGCTTTTATCCAAATCCCCTGCATAGTCAGAATCTACATACCCATTGATTAGTAAGTTTGATCCTCCGTAACATAATGCAACATTTGAGGTCCCTTTGATGTATCTTAGGATCCTCTTTACAATATTCCAATGCTCTTTGCCTGGATTCGCCATGTACCGACTAACCACTCCCACTGCTTGTGTAATGTCTGGTCTTGTGCATATCATAGCGAACATTAAACTTCCCACTGCTGATGCATACGGTACTCGAGACATCTCCATTCTCTCTTCTTCACTGCTAGGACTCATACTGGAGGATAATTTGAAGTTAATAGGAAGAGGGGTAGAAATTGGCTTACAATCTTGCATGTTGAATCGTGACAAGATCTTCTTCAAGTAATTCTTTTGTGAAAGCCAAATCTTCCTATTACTTCTATCTCGGTGAATTTGCATCCCTAGAATCTTGTTTGCTGATCCCAAGTCCTTCATTTCAAATTACCTAGCCAGTTGTGCCTTCAATTCTTCAATATGATCTTTGTTGGGTCTTGCAACCAACATGTCATCCACATACAACAGCAATATAACAAAATCGTTATCACCAGACCTCTTGAAATAAGCACAAGGGTCTGCATTAAGTCTGTTGTATCCAAGGCACATAATGAAGGAATCAAATCTCTTATACCAACACCTCGGCGCCTGCTTTAGACCGTACAGAGATTTGTTCAACCTGCAAACCAAGTTCTTCTTTTCGTCTTCTTCAAAACCTTCAGGCTGGAGCATATAAATCTCTTCTTCAAGATTTTCATGAAGAAAAGTTGTTTTAACATCTAGCTGTTCCAGATGTAAATTCAATGTAGCACATATTGCCAAGACTACTCGAACTGTTGTTAGTCGAACCACAGGAGAAAAAATTTCATTGAAATCAATACCTTCTTTCTGAGCATATCCTTTGACCGCCAGTCTTGCACGATACCTCTCCACTTGATCGTCACTATTTCACTTGATTTTGAAAACCCATTTGTTACCAATTGGCTTCCTTCATTGTGGTAGTGGCACAAGGTCCCATGTATTATTTTTATGAAGGGCTTCGATTTCTTCTTGCATCGCCATCATCCACAGTGAAGCATCTGAGTTGTTTATTGCCTCCTGATATGTTGATGGCTCACCGTCCTCTGTTAAAAGACTGTATGCAACATTTCCTTCTATAACATAATCTGAGTGCCAATTGGGATGTCTTCTCACACGATCTGATTGACGAGTTGTTGGAGCCTCAGAACACTCTGGTTCTTGTTCATCATGTGTTGGTTCTGCTTCAGAAGAATCTCTTTGTTCAAACTCCTTTTTTACATGTATCTGTGTAGTCTCTGACTTTTCAGCGCTGTCATTGTCTTCTTTTCTTTGTAGCTTATCTTCTACAAAGATAACATCCCTGCTAATGATCACTTTGCGGGCAGTGGGATCCCACAAGCGATACCCCTTTACTCCATCAGCATACCCCAAGAATTTGCATTTTCTGGATTTTGGATCCAGCTTTGAAATTTCTTGGGCGTTGTACATCACGTACACAATACTTCCAAATACATGGAGGTTTGAATAATCAACTGGTTTACCAGTCCACATCTCCATTGGTGTCTTCAGCTCTATTGCAGTTGATGGAGCTCGATTCACCAAATAACAGGCAGTATTGACTGCTTCTGCCCAGAATGATTTTTCTAGGCCTGCATCCCTCAACATTGCTCTTGTTCTTTCTAACAAGGTTCTGTTCATCCGCTCTGTCACTCCATTTTGTTGAGGAGTGTTCGCCATTGTGAACTGTCTTTTGATGCCTTCTTTCCTGCAAAAGTCATCAAATTCTTCGCTTGTATATTCTCCTCCATTATCTGTTCTGAAACACTTGATCTTATTTCCAGAATCAAGTTCCACCCGCGCTTTGAAGTTTTTGAAAGTTGAAAACACGTCTGACTTCTTCTTAATAGGGTGCACCCAACATCTCTTGGAGTAGTCATCAATAAATGAGACAAAGTATTTTGCTCCACCTAGGGACGTTACTGGTGCTTGTCATACGTCAGAGTGAACCAATTCTAGAACACTTTTGCCTCTAGAATTTGATGTGTTGAATTTCAACCGGTGATGCTTACTTATTATGCAATGCTCACACAAAGGAAGTGATACCTTTGTTAAGCCTGGAAGTAGCTTTTGCTCCACAAGGACTTTCATTCCTTGTTCTGACATGTGTCCAAGTTTCTTATGCCATAGCATTGCAGAATCTGAACTACATGAGGCAACAGAGGCTTCTGCTTCTAGCAATGTCTCTCCCTTCAGCATGTTCAAGTTTGCAGCTATCTTTTCACCTTTCAGCACCACAAGCGCTCCACGGAACACCTTCATGATTCATTTCCGTGTTTCAATCTTGCTAGCATTATTATCCAACAATCCGTAGGATAATAAATTTTTCTTCAGACCTTTCACGTGTCGCACATCTCGAACAACTTTAATTGTTCCATCATACATCTTCAATTTGATGGTTCCCACACCAACGATCTCTAAGGCATGATCATTGCAACTATACACAGATCCTCCTGAGACAGGTTCATAATGATGGAACCATTCTCTTCTTGAGGTCATGTGATATGTCGCTCCCGAATCAATGAGCCATATATCTGCAAATCTTTTTCTGCCTTCCACGGTGGTTGACGCTTCACAGCATAGAGCATCTCCATCATCTGAAGTGTTTGCGGTATTGCCTTGTGGATTGGAG